TGTATATATATATATATACATATATATATATATATATATATATATATATAAAATACACACACACGCACTTATTTTCTTATTTTGATATGCTGACTAACATCCTAAAAATAAGTTATTTATACTTATATTTAAAGTTCATATATTTTTATGCTAAAGTATATTTTAGTTCAATACACTTTAACCATATTAATCATATAAAGGTATATAGAATATAAAGTCCTACTACTCCAGTGTTCAAATAATTGAATATAATATAAATTTAAACTAATTTATTTTCATTTAATTTCAATTAACATGCAATTAAGTGTAATATTCTTTTAACATTAAAAGAATATGCTTACAGTAAGTGCAAACTGAATTTAAAGTATATTATCTTCATAATAAGTGCAATTTTTAAAAGTATGTTAAAGTGTGCATTTTTTGTCACATGGGAAATCGATTATTTAGATTTAGAGTGAATAAACCAAATGTCTGTGGCTTTATTATTTGTATTTTTTGAGGTGAATATTGTGCAGCAGACGACAGCTTTAACCCTTGCTGAATTGAACTGTAAAGGGTCTTGTGACTCGCTGTGGGGGGCCCATCTGTGGTATTACCCGCCAGACGGTAGAATGATGGCCTCTCCCCTGCCCCCTCCCAGCCCTGACCATTGTTCCCATACACTGAACCACATATAATCCCAAACGAAGTTAAACCTCCAGAAAACATCTATAGAGCTATACATAGAGACACGCTGGACTGACTGGATGCTAAGCTACGTGCTAATTAGTAATAGAAGAGTGTGGAGGGTAGCGAGGGGATTTTAGTAAAGAAACATCACGATTAATGTTGGGAACATTCTCAGGTACTAACAGAGTTCCTCTCTTATCCTTAATCCGTTAACTCCTTGGATATTGTGCAAAACTAGCCATGTCTTGTTGTTAGCATTATGAGGTTAAAGGTCAACGTGATGAATCTGCACCAAAAACTTGAACCCCAAATCTGTGTGGGAAAATGTTTAACCCTTATATAAAATTCCAGGATTTCTATTGAAATTATTGGATTTCGCACCTTAAAAAGAAGGCTACTGCTTCTAATGTCATTTTATTATTGTTAAAATGGCCTCTCCTATCCTAGTTTATGTAGAGTCATCTGAAGATAGATTTTTCCAAAAACGGTAAACACTGTCACACTACCAAAATATTGCTACAGATACTTGGTTTGAGCATCCTGAAATAAGGAATATCATCAACCAAGATATATTTCATTCATGTTTTAATTTATACGCTATACAAATGATATTGTGCAGCACCTTGTTTAACAATAAATAAAAATGTTTTGTTTTTGCAAAACATTGCATCACTTTTAAGGTCCAATTCTCACTATTAACAAACCATTAACTATGACTTTTGCCTCCTATTTTGCTGCTTATTAATAGTTAGTAAGGTAGTTGTTAAGTTTAGGTATTGGGATTAGGGACGTAGAATATGGCCATGCAGAATATGTGCTTTATAGGCCTAAGTACTAATAAACAGCCAGTATGTTAATAATAGGCATGTTAATAAGCTACTAGTTAATAGTGAGAATTGGTCCCTATATACTAAAGTGATACCGAAAATTGCTTAAATTGTTAAGCTTTAGGAATTAATTTCATTGGATGTCATTTTTGATGATTAATTTAAATTAAATGATAATTTGAGAAAAAAAACAAGGATGTGAGCATCTGAGAAAATAACAAGGTAGCTTACTTTGTGGAGTTTACATATTACATTTACATTTAGTCATTTTGCAGACGCTTTTATCCAAAGCGACTTACAATTGGGGAATACATAAAGCGATTCTTCTTAAAGAGGCAAACAGACCAAGGAAGTGCTTGTAATACCAAGTTTTAGGCATTGTTCAAATAAGTACAAGCTAGAAAGGGAAGGAATAAATAAAGAAAAAGACTACGTTTAAAAAAAATAAAAAATTGTATGATGAAGTCAAGTAGCGTCGAAAGAGATGAGTTTTTTAGCTGTTGCTTGAACATTGTCAGGGATTCAGCATTCCGGATAGGGGTGGGAAGATCATTCCACCAGCCAGGAATGGTGAACAAAAATGTTCAGGAAAGTTATTAATGCCATGAAACAGGAAGTTGTTGTAACTCATGCTTACAATGTCCAATCTGCCCCAAACTTCACATGTTTGATAAGAGTCCTGGCCTGAAGACATCCAAAGGCCAATATTCAGTTATAGTCATAGCGCCACATGTTGGCAACAGGATATGTCATATTACATTAACTCAAACATACCATGTTCAATCTGCACCAGCCTTCACATGTTTGATTAAAGTCCTGGCCTAAAGACATCCACATGCCAATATTCAGTTATGGTCATAGCGCCACCAGCTGGCAGCAGGAAGTTTGGCACATATAAATGACTTTGACCATATTCCTCCTATATTTACAGTACCACTTTAAATGCATTTTACCCACCATTCATTGTTTTCCTATGGCCACAGGGTGGAGGTTGCTCCTGGTGCGAGGGCCCTTCCAACGCTGCTTGCAGCTTTAATAAAAAAAATGGAATTTGTTTTCCCAGTTCCTGTCTGTTTTAACTTAAAGAAAACTTTATATTTTGCTCTTTTCTTTAAATAAATATGTTTTGTGAATGTGCAGCTCTAACTACATTTTTGAAGTCATTTTTTTGTTTTGACACACATTTATCTCATTCGTGTCACTTAAGAACGTTAGTAAAGTAAGTTAAAAAGAAAGTTATCCAGACTACATTAAATAGTAGTCTGGGGGTTGGTATCATATGTTCTATATTTGCAGTTATAATATTTGCTATTAATGACATTTTCATAATTTTTCTTTCATAAGTCTAGTCAGTCATAACTATAGCCAGTTCTTCAAGCCTGAAAAGGGTTACTGAGGTTTTCGATTAAAATGCTAATCAATTGTACAGGGGCCATTTATAATAATTACAGTCTGAATTAAAAATAATTCTGTTTTAACTTAAAGAAAACTTAATATTTTGCTATTTTCTTTAAATAAATATGTTTTGTGAATGTGCAGCTCTAACTACATTTTTTAAGTCATTTTTTTTGTTTTGACACACATTTATCTCATTCGTGTCACTTAAGAACATTAGTAAAGTAAGTTAAAAAGAACGTTATCCAGACTACATTAAATAGTAGTCTGGGGGTTGGTATCATATGTTCTATATTTGCAGTTAATATTTGCTATTAATGACATTTTCATAATTTTTCTTTCATAAGTCTAGTCAGTCATAACTATAGCCAGTTCTTCAAGCCTGAAAAGGGTTACTGAGGTTTTCGATTAAAATGCTAATCAATTGTACAGGGGCCATTTATAATAATTACAGTCTGAATTAAAAATAACAACCTAACTAGCCTTTTTATGTCGTTATGATCAAGATCATAATCCCAGTCCATAACCAATTAAGTTTGAACAAGACATCACGCCTCTGTACGTTAAATCCGGAAGACACGCCCACAACGAACTTGTGCACCGGCGGCACAAAGCGATTGGCCAAGGCGCGCTGTCAATCACGAATCTTCCATTCCTTCCGTTCCGCCAACGAGACTTTACACAGATGTGTTTCAAGCGTGATCGGTTGAGGCGGTTGGTCTCCGTTCGCGCAGTGGGATCAACTTCTTTCAGAGGATCTACCGTCTCCTACTCGGACACCTTGAGTTCAATGTAACAGTTATCGTAAGCAGTGTAGGTCAAGGTGATCGGGGAGTTACTTTGTTGGAGAATTGAACATATTTAGACGGGGTTTTAAACGCAGAAGAAAATGCCTGTAGCTTCTCTCCTGCCTTTCACGGTCACTCCGAATAGGAAGTCCACCAGCCCGACCTCCTTCAGGCTCACGGAGAAATTCATCTTGCTTTTAGTGTTCAGCGCCTTCATCACCCTGTGTTTCGGAGCTATCTTCTTCTTGCCGGATTCCTCGAAGCTGCTCAGCGGAGTTTTCTTCCGTTCGTCCTCGGTGGAGGCAGAGACGCGTACAGGTACGGTCAGTGACACAAGCACCGGGACGGGCAAGGATGAGAAGATCCTGGCCAAGATCAGAAAAGACCACGAAAAGGCGCTGATTGAGGCCAAGGACACCCTACAGAAAGGGCCGAACGAGATCAAGCAGGACATCAACAGCGACAAAGAGAAACTTGCGCTAAACGGACAGGGGAAGGGAGCGAAAGCTGACAGTTTGCCGTTCGTTCAGTATGAGCGGCCGCCTGGAGCAACAGGGCACGAGCCCGCGGATCCTGACATTAAAGCGAAAAGAGCCAAGATTAAAGAGGTAAGTTACTGTGTTTTTTTTTTATTATTAGATATACTCCTGCGGTTTGCTCAGACTCTCGAGAGAAATCATGTCAGTTATTGTTATGAAAACAACTTTCCCCGTGTAGCGAAACCAATCTGTTATTAATATTAATTTAATGGCAGTACTAGTGGCTGGAAAACAAAACTGGAGGAGTGTTGACAGTGTCAGTTTCAGGAAGCATTTCCAATGAAGTAAATGCAGAGTTGTAATACGATATATAAGTAGACGTGTTGTTGTTGAACCTCTATGTTCTGACAGGTCGGTTGATGGACAAGAAACTCCAGTCGCTCACAGAAGAACGCGTTCATTGTTTCTGTCGCTCATTCACCTAGCAGTACTGACTGACAGTATTCAAGTCAATATTCCTCATTTTTCAGTCAGTATTTCACTCTGCATTCCCTGTGGTCAGTGTTTAATCAACATTACCCATTCCCGTCAGTATTTATCTTTCCCCCCCAATCTGTTTTCACTATATTTCAGAAAGCATTGCCTGTCATATGGTACTTCAGACAGTGTTCTCTGCCTTTTCAGTCTGCACTGCCTCTATTTCAGTCCGCGTTCCCTGTTTATTCAGTATTCCAGTCAGTATTACTTTTTTTTTTTTTTTTGTATTTTAGGCAGTGATGCCTTCCTTTTCAATCAGTATTGACTTTATTACAGTGACTGTTGCAGTCTGTCTTCCCTGTTTTTAGTATTCTTATTTTTTAGCCGTTCAGTCAATATTTGTCAATAATCAGTGTTTGCCCTTTCAGTTAAAGGGGTCATATGATGTTGCTAAAAGAACACGATTTTGTGTATTTGGTGTAATGAAATGTGTTTATGCGGATTAAGGTTAAAAAAAACACATTATTTCCCACATACTGTACATTATGGTTTCTCCTCTATGCCCCGCCTTTCTGAAACGCGTCGATTTTTACAAAGCTCATTGGTCTGAAAAGCGAGGTGTGCTGATTGGCCAGCTATCCAGTGCGTTGTGATTGGCCGAATACCTCAAGCGTGTGAGCTTGTAAAACTCCAAAGAGAAAGGAAAAATTGAAATCGCATCATATGACCCCTTTAATACTTTAGCTATTTTTTTTTGGTGAGGATTGCCTGTATTTCAGTCTGTATTTTCCTGATTTTCAATCAGTATTTTAGTCCGTATTCCCTGTTTTTTTTTTCAGTCAGTATTTTAATCTGTAAACCCTCCTATATTTTAGTAAGTGCCGCAGTCTGTATTCCCTGTTTTTCAGTATTTCAAGCCAGTACTCACCATATTTCCTTTAGAATTTGTCTGCATTTCAATCACTATTCCTCATTTCACTCAGTATTTTATTTTGTATTTCCCTGTTTTTTCTTTCTTTCTTTTTTTCAAGTTAGTCAGTCAGTATTGCCTATATGTTCCTGTCAGCATTCTCTGTTATTAATATTTATCTTAGTGCTCCTGTATGTGTTTCCCCTTCTATTCCCTGTATTTCAGGCTGTTCAGTCATAATTGAGCTAGAGGTTTTTACATGATAAGGGCAACCTTTTTGTTTACATGAAAACTGGGCAAGTTATATCATAAGTGCAAGATGCGTCATCAGCATCATATTCCTGATGTTACCAGTAATGACAATAGTAAGCCAAAACCTATATTGTGTTGAGCTTAGGAGGGCACTTATGCTGATATGCACTATAAAAAAATAAAAAAAGTATTTGACAATTTATCTTTAAGTTATGATGGTGAAGTACTAGTAATAATTAGAAATATATTTGCAGTATTGGACAATAACCTATGGTATAGATATTTTGTGTATCCCTAATTAATTGCCATCTCAAGCATGTTTTCCCAGCAAAGTTGATTTGATTTGTTCACCAATATTTTTTTGAAGCTATATTGCATTTTTCATTGCAAGCTATATTGCAGTTTTCTTTTTTTTGGAAAATGCACCAAAGTTATAAATGATATTGATTATATTCTTAAGTGATGCTGGTAAAAATGGTGTAGCCTTGAAAACTACAGTAATAACTAGTAATTAATTTTTTTTCTAGAGCGGTAGAGATGCCTCGATCAGATTGAGCTGAGCTCATCTCAGTGTCTTGGTTGAGGTGACCTGCTAAAGTGTTAACTATATGAGCTTGTAAAGGAGCATAAACAAGGCTGTTATTTCTTGGGTGCATTTAGAGCATGTCAGGCCAGTCTAATAATCCCTCAGTATGAGTCGAATGTTAACTTTGCATCAGCTTGATTAAATTAAATTTGCTATTGATTGAGACTCAGTTTTTCCCATTTGAATCAGGCAAGTCCACAGTAAAGATGTAGATGAAAACTGACAGCATGGTAAAGCTTTAAAATCGCTTTTCAGTTGGTATTGACCTTGTGTCCTTGCTTTTTTTTTTTTATGTGAGTTTATCCTCCACAGTCAGTCACTACGTTTCAGTTATTTGCATAAGGAAATGGTTTCTGTGCTCCTACGGTGTCCTTCAAATTTACATTGTGTCACTTTGTAATGCCAGCTTATGTTTTGAGATTTTGTCCTACTGTTTCATTTTGCTTGAGGGCTCGTTTTTGCTCATTAAGTTTTGAGTATATTCAAGCATGTGACACAAAGCGTATTGCAGTCTCGGTAGTTTATCTAAATGGCTAACAGTGGAAAACCTGTTGATAATAAGGTTGCTCCTCAGAGTTAGTCCGTCAGAGTTGGATGAGTTTTAATGCCAGGATTAAACCGTTATAGAGTTAAGCACATTAGTGCATGCGGAAGCCTCCACATTCCTCTCCAAGACTGTTGGAGTTCCTGCGGATCTGACAAGCCCCTCATCTCTCTTGCTTAATGCAGCGGCTCAGCATGAGAACGGTGATAATTCAACCCTGAATAGCAGGATTTCATCCATTGATCGCTGGCATGAAGGAAACAAACAGTCACAGCTTGACCCTGTGGGGTCTCACTTGTCAGATGCGGCTGTGGGCACTCTGTCTTGCCCCGCCAGACACTCTGACCTTTGAGGAGCTGAATTGCCTTAGAAAATAAATTGATCTCAAGGTTATGAAGTAAAAATGGTTGTGTGAGATTATTTTTTCCTGCTTTTATAACTAAAAGCTGTAAACTCCTTAAATGGATAGGTCACAGTGACATTTACAGGACTGTTTTTGACTCTTTGCATTTAGTTATAGTAATAATAGTTATAGTAATAATTTTGTAATAGAAATGCAGAGCTCCTTGATTGACTCCCTTGAACGTTAATGCTAATGAATGAGTAATCGTTACATTACATTACTGGTGTTGATGTTCTCAATATGTAAATATGTAATGAAAAATATTGATAAATATATTACATTTATTTATTATAAATGTACACTACTGTTTAAAAGTTTGGGGTCAATATGATTATTTTTAAATTCTTACTACTTTTTAAATTTCTATTCGTCAAAGTATCTTGAAAAGTGTATCATGTTTCCCACAAAAAATCAATCAATCAAAAACAGCAGCACAACCGTTTTTAACATTGATAATAATAATTAAAAAAATGTTTCTTGAGCACCAAATCAGCATATTAGAATGATTTCTGAAGGATCATGTGACACTGAAGACTGGAGTAATGGGTGTTGAAAATTAATTGTTGCCATCACAGGAATAAATTACATTTTAAAATGGAAAACGGTTCTTTTAAAGGGGTCCTATTATGCTTTTTCACTTTTTCAACTTTAGTTAGTCTGTAATGTTGCTGTTTGAGCATAAAAAAAGATCTGCAAAGTAACAAAGCTCAAAGTCCACTTCAAAAGGAGATATTTTATTTAACAGAAAGCACTTTTCAAAAACTACAACGAACGACTCGTTTGGACTACAACGCACATTTTCCGGGATTTGTGATATCACAAAGATCGACGAATGGGATTGTGCTCAAATTGATTTGATTTTGAGCAATATTTACACTGAAGCTCGCAGCAGGCGGCTATGGTAAGGGGCATGACATTTCCCGACCAGGCGCCGAGTGGTGCCAATCACAACACACACTGGCCCAGCTAACCAATCACAGCACATTTCGTATTTCAGAAGGCGGGTCTTCATTTGATACAGGAACAGGTGCTTCTCACCTGCACCTCTAATGTTCTCCCTTGAGCGTGACTGCCGCAGGAAGTGCTCATAGGACACATCACACACCCATTTGGCCTCTGAGCTCCTCTCATTCATTATAGATGACAGAGCTCTCCACTCGCTCAGCCCTCATTCCTCTCACCATTAATTATGCATAATTCAAGCTAATAAGAGATATTAATTCTCATCGAAATGTTCATAGGATATCAATGTTTGGGGCAATGTAGTAAAAATGTATACAAATTAAACTTTAAAGATACATATGGTAGAATAGAGAGAGCCTAACGGGCGTTTTGAAAGAGTGAAAAGTTCATAACCAGGAACACAGGGTGCAAAACCTTTTAGAAGTGCATAAAGTTAACTTTTTTGCTTGTCAGATTATACGATGTGGCTGCAGTAAGATCTTGGATAAAAGACAGATTGTGACATCAGTTGTCTTTTATGTCAGATTATGCAATATACATCTTAGGTAGAACCTTCCACAAATTACTTAAACACATTCACTTTCAATGACAACTTCCGGTTCCATGGGAGACCGTGACGGCTGGAAACAGGATGTGGGCATGTACACACATTTAATTGGTTTAATCTTTGCATGCCATCTTAACTGCACCAAAACTACTGATTCTCTGCTGTCACAGGGCATGATGCTTACTTTTTTGCAAGGCGCATTTTAGGAGTGCCTTGCAAAAATAATGATGAAATTTATTAAATAATGCATAACTGTAATAAGAAGATGATTGTGCTAATTCTAAAATCCGTTGAGTATTTACTTCTTGTGACGGGGCAGCCCAGAAAGATGCTACAAAATTTAATGTTGAATTAAAATCCAGATACAGCTTACTGTGTAATCAAAATACCTATATTAAAGAACTTATGCATATTGCAGGAGTTTTAACAAGCTCAAAATACACAGAT